GATTTGCTGATTAAATAAACAAATAAATAAATGAATTCACAAAAAAATAATAATTGTTGTTGTTGAACTGATTCATATTCTTCAGAAAACAAGAATTGAATTAAATTCTGAAAATGAAACTGAAAAACTGACCCAATGGAGTCTTGCCAGACTCGCATTTCCAGTGGTGACTGCACCTCTTGAGGCAGTGTGCAAGGCCAAGACAAGTAGAATTTGTAGTTTGTACTCGCCCCAACGCCTATCAACTCGTTTCCACAACGAACACTAACCGCTGGTAGACATTCATAGACTCGCCTCAAAATAAACTTCTAACAAGGTGAAACTGCAACCGTAATATTAACCATTCGACTATTAATGTAACCATTCGAAGAGATTCACAAACACTGATTTGGATAATTATCACAAACATTTAAATAATTATCAATAATTAGTACTGATAATTAATAGTAATGATAATAATAATAATAATAATAATAATAACAATAAGTAATTAATAATAATGGTAAACAATGATATAATATAATATTCAAATCGCAACCGAAACAATGCTCACCCGTTTTTAAAATCGCAAATCGCCATGGAGGAAGATTAAACGATTCATCAGAAATTTTATCAAGTATCAATTAATTATCAATAAGTTTCGCCCTATAAGTTTATGGAAATGCATAGACAGCAGGTCTATGAAAATTTCAGTGCTTTACATGGACAATTGGACAAAACACTTGACGACATTGCATCGCTGATCAAATCTCAAAGATATTCACGCGGATATCGAAGGAGTGGTGTGCATCGAAAGTAGGAGGGTGTCACAGAGAGTCGGTTTACCTTAACGTTTCGAAACGACTTTTATCGGTGTTCTCGATGAAGCGAGCATCCGAATTCGGATGTACCTCATCGAATCGATATTGCGACGGTAAATCCAACTTCATTTCAGCCACCACTCTTTGTTGCGTTTCGTTCATGTAGAACAAATGATAGATATCGGATTTCCATTCGCGCAGTGTCAGTTGTTTTTGGAAGATGAAAAACTGAAAGGAAATTGCACTGAGAAAATGGAGGAAAATTGAGAATGTATCTTTTTTTTAACAAAAAAATAGGAAAAAACTATATTTATTTGTTTGGAAATAGTGGCTACGATAACGAAATAAGAAGCCAAAACAACAGATTCAGGTAGAGTATGAAATGGCATCGATTGAACTGTAGTCGCAACGGAGCGCGAAAGA